ACCTTTCCTATTTATATTGTGAGATTCTTTTTTTTTTTTTAAGATTTATTTATTTATTTTATACAAGCACTGGGTACAGTCAGAAGCACAGGAAGGTGAGAGAATCCACCAGAGCCAGAGCGGGGAGCAGAACAGGCAGACTGACGAAGTACACTGCTGAGGGGAGCAGCGGGCAAGACTGGAGAAGTCAGCCGCGCTACGTGGGACCCTCACTGGCTGGCCGGGGATCAAACCGGCGCTTCAGAAGCTGCGGACAGCTTCACAGCCCAGCGCTCAACCGCTGCACCACTGGCGAGGCCCTATTGTGAGATTCTTGAGAACCTCTCACCACCTAGTCCTGAGGCTGCCCCTCTCAGCACCTAGCGCACATGCAGTCCAGATTCCTTTTCCTTTTTCATTTTCACAGACTTTGCTATCTTGTTCTGTCTCCCTTCTGCATCTATGTTTTTCCTCTTGGATTATATTCATCAGCATGTAAATATACTCTAGTGATTTTTCTATGAGGGAAAAAAAGAAAAGCAAGCGAACAAATGAACTGCAAGACCCACCTATTTTGACCCTACATCCCTTTCTAGAGACCAGTCTGTATCTCTGCTGGTATTTGACAGAATTTTCCCAACACTATCTATTATTTGTTGCTCCCCATTCCATATTTTGCAAACTTTTTCAACTCATTCCATCTTATCTTTGGTTTTCTCTGGGTTTCTCAAATCCTTCTTGTTAAAATCACTAACCACATCACAGATGCTAAACTCAGTGGTTTCCTCCTGGTCCTGAGCTGACTGGACTTAGCAGCAGTGAGCAGAGCAGGTAACACCCTCCTTCCTGAACACTGTTTCTCGCTGCCCTTCACACCACTGTGCCTGGTTTCTCTCCTGCCCCGGGGGCTGCCCTTCCGACTCTCCTTCAATGGCATTTCCTCTCTCGCTGGTCCCTCCAGCGCTATGTCCAGTCCCATAGCTTTCGTTGCCATCCACATCCTAATGCTCCCAACAATATTTTTCTCTCCCTATGCTCTGGACTTCACACTTATGTCCAGCTATTGACTTGACACATCCACTTGGCTATTTAGGTCAGGATGTCAACCTCTGCGTGTTCAAAACAAGCACGTGTCTCCCTCTGTGTCCTAATCTGCTTCTTCTTCAGTCTTCCCCATTTCAGAAACTGGCAGCCTCATTCCCACAAATAGTAAAGCTTAAGTCCACAGAGTCCTACCGCATCCCTGCACCTAATCTACTGCATGGCTCGTGGAGTCTACCTCCGATTCTAAACTGGAATCTGATTCTGCCACTCCATCTCCATTGACACTGTCCTGTAATGCCACCATTCTCCTCTGTCCTGCTGCCACAGGCTTTTCTGCAACATCTCTCAGTTATAAGCCAAAGCAACAATTTAAACATAAAAATTAGATAATGTGACTTAAATTTAAACCCTCCACGATTTGTAATTTTATTTAGAATAGCGACCGCAAAGTCCTGTGTCCTACATGAGCTGCCCAGACCTCCAAGCTGCCTCTTCTCTTTTAAATTCCAGCTGCAATGAACTTCCTTCTGCTTCTTAAACACATTTGCTCTTCCCTACCCAGGATCCCATGAGTCCCTCCCCTCTGAGGAGCCCCCAATCTTCACATTAGCTACTTCTCAGAGCGCCAGTCTTGGATCAAGCCACTCCTTAGAGAGGTGTTCCTGATCCCCTTACCCTGAACCACTTCCTGGTCTACTCTGCATCCTCCCCTGGGCTGTCAGCGCACACAGGATGGAGACCTGCTCGTCCACCCATGTGCCCGCGGTGTCTGCACCACAGCCTGCCTTACAGGAGATGCTTAGCAAATGTCTGATGGATGGATATTAGACAGTCGTCCATCCAACTCCTGTTACCAGACTGAGTGCGGATCACAGCTGCCCCAATATATCAGAACCGTGTGTGTGTGTGTGTGTGTGTGTGTGTGTGTGTGTCAGAGAGAGAGAGACAGAGAGAGAGAGAAACAGACAGAGAGAGAGAGAGACAGAGACACCTTGGGTATTACTTAGCCCCTCCGAGCTTCAATTTCCACAACCAAAAATAGGTTGGAATCAATGAAATAATCCATGTAAAAATGAAGAACAGACTTGGCTCCTAAATAAATGTTAGCTATAGTTGTTAAGTTATAATTTCTTCTGTATCATTCTAAAACATGATACATAAAACAGTGACATTTAGAGTTTCCAATTATGTGTTTTCAACTTTTAGGGAAGCCTTTGCTGAGATTTTTTAAATTCTATTGACAACTTTCCTCAGATAAGATTCCCCCTGAGAGCACGCTGGAGTGGGAATCGGAAGGTGCTTTGGAAACCTGTCGGTAGGGACATGCTCAAGTCTACAGGAACATGTACAAAAATGAATTATCTCTGGTCATAATATAAGCCCAAGAATTTATCTGAAAATCTTTCCTACTTCATATAACTGTCCCTAGGGATAAAAATACACTGAAGTCTCTTGAGTTTTGTTGTCTTTTTTTTTTTAAAAATTGGTATCCACATTTCACAAGACCAATGAGCCTGTTTTCTCAAGTTCTTCATATTAAGTTGAGGAGATGGAATCTTAATGTCCCTTTATCTCTGTCTACCCAACCCCTTGCGCTCCCTTCACACATGCTCTAGCTGACATCACAGAGACCCAGGGCTGGTTGGCTAAGTAAGTTCAGTGTGACGTGGAAAACAGGCCTGGGGGGAAAAATCCACTATCTTGGTTGTACACAGCATTATAGAACTAAAGGTGTACTTTTTCCATATTAAGCAGCTCAGTCAGATAATTTCTAAGCCTGAAGGACTGGCAGTTCTACAAAGATGACTCAAATTTATTGAAATAAAAATTAAAGACAGTGTTGTGTGTTTTGTGTCTATCAGAGTTAGCTACTGAAACTGTTTGACAGATAGTTTTTCTTTTAATTATATGAAAAATTAGTATATGTTGTAGATCTTTTATATCTTGCAGTTATTAAAGTTAATCTGTATCCTTGCAACACTTAATGTATTTCTACTATATCACTTATTATAAGGTCACCTATCATTTTACTGGTTTTTTTTTAATGTGGTTATCAAGGAACTTCTTGATATCAGAGACTGTGTCTTATTCCTATTTTTACCTGCACTATCTGCCACATAATAGGGCCCTCAGCACTGCAACTGACTGGTAGATTATTAAACTGCATGGGATTTCACTTATCTGTAGTACAGAAGCAATACATATAAAATTCACCACTTCTAGCAAGGCTGAAAATGAATAAAGCATTTAATTTTAAGAGGCTGTATCTGAACTTAGATTTGGGAGATACAGCCAATCATCAGTAGCAACAGGTTTTTATCGAAATTCAATTTCCCTATTGGCATTCTAAATGCTTCAAGAAGTGTGCCACACAGTCTGTCTATGAGTCATACTTACCACTAGTTTATTAAACGCTAAAAAATATTTATTAGCCCTTTTTATTCTTTATACTCTGACATGTATGTGACCTAGTGTTTAAGAAAAGAAGCCACAGAGCAAGCTTGCCTGGGTTCAGATCCTTGAGGGACTTTGAAGTAACCCCTTTAAACTCCCTGGGCCTCAGTTTACCCATTTGCAAGAAGGGAATACTAATAATACCTCATAGACTTACAATGCATTTTAAATGATTATGTATACATGTGCATTCATTTCTCGGTGTCATGCTAGTAGTAGTTATTGTTAGATACAAAATGTTTGCTTTTTTTTTAAAACAGGACTAGGTTCTCTGAAGAGCTCACAATGTTTGCTTTCTAGGACAATGCAGAGGATCCCTTTATTGAAAGCAAATGTATACAAATTTTTAGTCCTAAGTAACAGTTACTTTTTTATTTATTTATTTATTTATTTATTTATTTATTTATTTATTTATTTATTTATTTATACAAGCACTGGGTACAGTCAGAAGCACAGGAGGGCGAGGGAATTCACCAGAGCCAGAGCAGGGAACAGAACAGGCAGAATGACGAAGTACACTGCTGAGGGGAGCAGTGGGCAGCAGGAGAGGTCTGCGCGCCATGTGGGACCCTCACCCAGGGGCCGGGGATCGAACCAGCGCTGCAGAGGCTGCGGGCAGCTTCGCAACCCAGCGCTCAACCACTGAACCACTGGGGAGGCCCAGTAACAGTTACTTTTAACACTAATTTTTTTTGTTAGTTTTTAAAGTAGTTATAAATGATGGTTGCCATCGTGCTGTCTTCTAATTGAAATGAAGAAATATGAAGGTATAAAATATTTTAAAAAATAGTAAAAGATAAAGGTAATGGAGACTTCAAGGATTTTAGATCTTTCTGTATTTGAAGTGCTATTTTGAAAAGCAAGCAATTAAAATCAGGTATTCACCAATTTATGGATTAGAGACAGTATAAACACTGCAGAGCCTAAAGCATTTCCAACTTAAATACTGGTGCAATCAAAATGCAGTACAGTGTAAAATTCCATACACTGACATTAAGTTTTCTAATTCTCTACTGACTGAGACTTTCAAAAATGAATAGAACAATAGCAACAGCCAACTCTCTACCGACTCCTTTTTAAGACAGTATTGCTCCTTGAATTTTTGAATGTGCTAATAGTAAGTTCATGGTACAGCTCGAAGGAATAAGAGTCTTCACAAAAGAGGAAACATTTCAGAATGATTAAAAATGAGATCATTGAAAAAAATCCAATCACCGAAAATTTGCGTGATTTCTGAGATCAGCTACAGTTAAAAATAAGATGAACACTTTATTATATTTTAGATAAATTCAATTCAATGGAGCTAAGATGTTTTAATTTAAAAGGAAGAAATGTTGACATTAGACTTAGTGATGTATGTCTAAGTGTCAGAACTGTTGGATTTATTTAAAAGTTTTCAGGAAAAATGAGGTTTGACTCACAGCACCATTATGCTGTTTGTATTGGTAAAGCATGTTCCCAGGGAGGCCCCACAAGACTCCAGCTGCCAGATCATTTACACCCTGACCTGCTGCTCCCCTTACCTTCAACGAATACCTCAGCAGACGTGGTGTCGGAGCCGTTGGGATTCGTAGCCAGACAGGAATAGCGACCTGTGTCGTCCTCGAAGGCCTCTGTGATGGTCAGGGTGTGCAGGTCCCCACCCTCACAGTGGATCTGAACATCAGGCGTGTTGAGCAGCTCTTTCCCCTCACAGAACCATCTGCAAGCCAAATGGAGGTCAAAGGGCAGGAGAGAAAGAAAGGAAAGGATGATATTTAAAACAACGAAGCAGAAGGGAACAACTGGATGGTATGTAATAAGATGCTTGTTGGATAAAAACAATCTGTATCGATGTGACTGATGGAAACTTTACATTTTAGACCATGAAATTCATGACTAGACAATTCCCATAGGCTTTCTTTGTAAAGCATCTCATACATTTTTATCTGCACTGAAAGGAGGGACATCAAACTCCAGAGACCATTTCAGCCACAAAATAAAAGGAACCAAAATTCAAAGTCTTATAAAATGTTTTCTTAATAAATGGCTCTTACATTTATCATAACTCTAGCTATTCCTCTTATCTAGAGAAAAATATGAAAGTAACATGAACATAATGGTCAAAATATCAAACATATCAAGGGAAATGAATCATTATGTTAAAAAGTCCCAGGCAGCAATATTTTTGTTGCCCCTAAGACTTCTGATCAGCTGAGCAGCAACAGATTTAATGCCTTCCACATTTCGCATATTTATAAAACTTTCTAGCTGACTGCCTGGCCTCCAACATGTAGGGCGATGTGGCCGTGGTGTTGTAATTCACTCTTGCTAGTCAGCACTTTTCCCTTTCCCAAACAACATGGGCCTTAGTGTGGGAGGCTGCAAACTGCCAGACTGTTTTAACACAGATTCTCTCTGACACTCTCTTCTTTATTTCCCCAGCACCTCAAACTCTCAACAAGATTTTCACCAATATGTGGCTGCCCCCCAAACCCCCCCAAATGTGACTGATTTTTAAAGAAATATGTTGGAATGTGCTGCTTACAACTAAAAGGATTGAAGTCTCTGGGACCTTATTGTCCATTTAGCTCTGAATCAGCACATAGGGATTTTCTCTGAATCTAATCTTATGTAAAATTCTGTGGCCTTGGCATTCCTTTTGTGACAATATGGTATTGGAGACTAACATTTCTGATGGATTTAGAGCATAATTTAGGTATCTGACTATGTTTAATCTGAAAACAAACTCAATAATTCTGAGTATTGACTCCAGAAACTATATTTAAAAATAAATATGGGATATTTGCAAAAGAACAGATACCATTTTGGAAATGAATAAAACATACAAAGGAAACTCAGCTTACTGAGCCTCCAATGCAGCACAATGCATATGACTATTGAGGCAAGTGAGAAGGACAATATTTCTTGCTTCTGGCAGAGTGTGTACATGTGTATGGGTGTGTTTCATAAAGCCTTCGAGAACGTTCCAGCCTAGAATCATCTTCTAGTCCCTTTTCTGTTCTCTTTCTGAAGTCAAGAGTCCAGATCCCCTTCCATGAGAACTTACAGTGTGCCTAAGTCTTTTAATTGATCTCTTCATCATCTCTAATCAGCTATCAATTCTTCCTGTATTCTGTATTACATTAAAGCTCTTGAAACTCTTTCCTACATACCTTGTTTCATAAACTTCAGATTTATCACTGAAGTCTTGCATATAACCCGGCCCTGATTTTATTTTCTATCATTCTCTATCTAATGCTACTTCTGTCAAAGATTTGCATGAATTTATTGTTCCCTACATTAGTCCATGTATTATTTGCCTAATTTCCTTTGCTCCTACTTTATCCTCCTTCGAATTATCTCCTTACCATCTTCAGTAATCCCATTAAGAAACCACTATTTTCTAGCATATGTACCCCACAGACTTACAATTTAAAAAACTAATCATCTAAGCAATCGTGCTGTGTGTAAAAATGAAGGAAAGAATCAGTGAATACAGTAAGCTCATTGAAATGTATGTTCAAATTGTCAGGAAGATTAAGGTGATGAGCGTTTTCTACAATAGTCTTGCACATCTATTCAATCTTCTGAAATGGTTCAGCACATCTTCAACAACTGCATACGGTGAAATGTTTGATGTTGACAAATCACTCGGCTGACCTGTTTACTGCTTTCTAAACACTCATGCTATTTGTTCCCCAGCTCTGTGAATAAAATTAAGCCTTTGAGCATTCCACACACAAGAAACAGTGCAAAGATTAAATTTGTGCAAATTAGGTGGCAAGTACAATAATTAACATGAGTCATTAATATTGTTTTGACCTGGTCAGGGAAAATCAGACTGTTATTGATGTGAGTACCTGTCAAGTGACCTTCTGTTGTTAAAATGTGGTAAGACAGGGTGTGACTCAAGAGGAGGGAGGAAATGGCAAATATTTTGATGGCAGATTCCCTGTATCCACAGAAAGGGCAGTATGGTTCCTGGCGAGTGTTTAGATAAATTTATGATTGGAGCCATTTGCACATTGGAGATAGCCATGGCCTAGTAAGGAGGCTCAATTGTGACCTTAAGAAAGTCACTTAGCCTTCCTGGTTCAGGCTCTCTGTCTGTAGAGCTGACACTTATTGGTTATGGTTTCCTGACTCTAAGGTTTTTGGTGAAATGAAAGGGATGTCTATTGACTGATGGCAGTCAAATATTTTAAGAAAGAATGTAAACATACTTCAAAGAAAGGAGCAAGAAATGGCTTCACTTCTGTAAATGCCCTAGGACATACTAGTGTTTCTAAGATTACACACCCAGGTTGGGTCCTTAGATATATCACTGGATTTAGCACCTTGTCTTTATCACTACCAAGGTCCTTAAAACTTTCCACGTTCTATCGAGATGAGCTCTATAGTTGTAGTTCTAGCCTACAACAATCTTTCCAGAGAAAAGGCCTGGTCTTTTGAACTTATTCACTATGTTAATAAGCATGAGAGCATAATGTTTGGCATATGGAACATATGAATCAAGCCTTTTTAGCTTCTGTATATTTAATGCTTTGACATCTGGGTCCTTGTCCCTCCAGGACTGGCCGATTCTTCCAAGCACGCCTTTCACATGGAGCCCACACCCCCACTACCTCCTTGATTGGACTCTCACACTCAGGGCCACTATCCACTTTCCCTAATCAGCCAGAGCCAGGTAGCAGACAACTAGAGACCACACCTATGCCAGAGTCTGCTGAATTTATCAGCCTAGCCTGTCCTAAATCTGCTTATCCTGAAACATCTGCTGTTCTTTCCTGCAGAAACCACAATAAAGGCTCTTGCCCATATTTTCTCCTTACTATCGACCTGCTGGAAGACCCTGGTGCTTCCCCTGTGTGCACCCACCCTGGGCCACCCCCATAGCATGACATGCCCTCTTTTCCTGGGAACTGTGAACAACTATCTATCAAGGTGAACTCCTTCTTATCTGTTGGCCTCCTCATACCTGAATAATAAAATTACTTTTAAAAAACTGAAGCAATCAATTATGAATAAATTTACAAAAGAAGAGATGATTGAGCAGAAAAGTTTAAACAATATCTATCAGTTACCACCTTCAGAAATCTAAGGAGTGAGTTTGTCCACTTTCACCTGCTCAAATTGAAGTGCATTTACATAGCATAGAAATAAAATAATCTAGCTAATGCATACATCAGAAGAGAAATGAGCTTCGGCCACTCTTTATGTGGCAGATCATGACAAATCATCTTATCTAACTTAAGAGAATCCTGGTGGGGATTCCAGGTGGTTGGATGAGACGTGTTAAGTTCATGTTTGTTTTGTTAAATTTCTCGAATGTCACAATTCTATCAATTTCCTGGAAAAGGACTAAAATATTTAGTATTCTTTAAAGAAGAGGGAAAAAATCAGGTCTGTTCACAAAATTTTGAGCTCCTGAAGTGTTTGCTACATTAAATTCTTGATGCAGGGAAACTTAAGGAAAGCAATGCTGCTATGAGGAAATGTGCAGAATACAAAATAGGACCAAGTGCAGGTTTGGTGAAAGCATGCACAGGTGGTGACACTGCGGTCTTCCTGTGTCCTGTGGTGGACATGACTACGTGATCCCAATATTCTCTGCTAGTGAAACCGAATGTCTCGGAATCCTCAGGCAGGCTACAAAGCAAGTGAAAGAGAAGTCTGCAAGGAAACGTGTTTGTCATCTCAACTTGGTTTCTTTCTAAAAGAGGCATTCTGCCTTCTTTCTAGATTCTGAGAGCTATTTTTATTTTCTGTAATGTAAGAGGGTTCAGTGGAGAGAGAAGAGAGCATGTGTGAAAGACTAATGTAGCTACATAGGTGAAATTCCACTTGAGGACAACCCTGTACTGTTTTTCATTCCATTTCTAATATCTGGAGGCCATTTACCAATGGGGTATGATATTGGGTAGTATATTAGAAATCTAAATCCAATTATCAACATTTCTTTCTGCATCTCTGATAAATTTCAACTTTAATCATACTTCAAATTTTCTACCTTAAAAATTATTAAAATGTATTATCACAACCTCATAGTAAGGATGAAGAAATGTTAATAATTGGGAACAACTGAGAATTCTTAAGGACTGAAAGTCAACTTAAGGCAAAGAGAATTAATATGTATTGAAAGCCCATTAAATGCCATGTGCTTTGCAAATATGGCCTTATTTTATTTCCCCAAAGCCTTGTGAAGTAGCTGCCATTATATTTTTAGATACAAGCCACTCTCAGCTATATTAATGAAAAAGAAGAACATGGACAATTAAATCCAGATTAATTTCAGAACTTCATTTTCCTCAATATTTTCAACTTCATCTGTAATCAATTATTTGTTATGTATATAAACAAGTTCTAGCAAAGCTTACTGATTCTTTCCCCTTACTGCTGGTGAAGCTGCTAAGCAGCTCTAGGATTGCTACACAAGAGGGAGGTGAGAAGCAAACCTTGAAAATTTCCCATTCAACTGGGATAGAAGTGAGTTGCTAATATAAGACAATTGAGAATGGTTGTCAGATATCAAGACCATAAACAGGGTATAAAAACAACCTTGCACTAATTGGAAATAAATATAAAAGGTTGAGGAGATGTAGTTAAATACATACATTCATAATCAATCACTTGCTCATTCAACAAGAGCTTACTGTACTTCAACTTCAATCCAGATACCAGAATAGCAACTAAATTGCCTTTCTTATTTTTTAAGACTAC